CCAGACCTCATTTGACGCATGCCGTGCGTCGTATTGCGGTCCGACTGGGAAATCTGTCTCTGCATACAGCAACCAACATCATTTGGCGGCAAAAACGTAGGACTACATATAAAAATGCGTCAGGCATTACCTGCAAACCTGGCATAACTTCGAACAGGTTTAAATGTGCATTATCGCTGTGTGTTCTTTCAAGAAAGGCGAAGAATTCCTCGAGGTCAAAGACTTAGTTGTATCATCCATCAATCGGCATGCTAGGTTAGATTCCGCGTACAAAATTCCCAGACAGACGTGGCCGAGACTTGAGACAATCCGAATCGGATGCGGCAGACGGTGACGGCGAATGCGTGACAATATATTTTTGTCGGTGCATAGATATGTAGTCAATTACCTATCTGATGAAAGCCAAGAATTGTTGCAAGAAAACGTCTGTTGCGCGAAATAAGCCCAAGCTGCGTCCCTCAAAGTCTTACAGCAATAAAGTAACTAGCATTATTATAAAGATTAGGTGTTACCTTTTGTTTAGTAATATTACGTTGTTTGAAATAACCAGCAGCTTTAGAAAAACCGTAAAATCCGACAAAGTGAAACATCGTGGTTGCAAGGTATATGTATATTTTAAATGGAGAGAAAACCTGTTCAAGCAAATAATCGAGAGACGAAAGCAGCAGACGTCGAACAATTCACTTTTCTGTGTAAACCGGATCAATTTTCAGTATATTTATTTAGAGTTAGACCCAGTTTAAAAATTTTAAACTCTCAAGAAGGTAGCATTATATGTACTAAGATTTTACGCAAACTGAAATGATTTCATCCATTCTATTTCAATCGTCCATGTTTTTTTTTAATATATATTGTACCTATAAATTGTTTGTATATCTCTCCTGTAGGCTTGACAGGGAAAAGTCATGGAATGTATGTGCTTCTTTAGGGGAACATAGTTCCGTGTGGTAAAAAAAACCACTGCCGGCCAAGTTTATTATGTGCTTTTATGGCACAAAACATTCCAGATTTGCAGAACTTAATGCCTTTACCTGAAGCCAATCTTCTTTTCCCGAAGGCCATGCGATTTCTCATACTTGCGTTTACCTGCTTTTCGTGAATGCGAAGCAAACTCCTCCGTTCTCTGAACAGGTAAAACTAAAACTTTTCTGGCTTAAATTACTGAGCGTACAAAGTTGAGTTTGCATAAACGAGAAGCTTTGATCTGCAGTAGGACATTTGAATTTTGCCCAATTCTGCCGCTTTTTCTCCTGGGGATAGCGATTTGAACTGATTTCTTTTTTATTCAACCGAATTATGCACTTTACGCAAGATAAAGACATAAAATACGTGTCAAACCACCACCTGAAATGCCGATCTTCACGTTTTATGACTTAGGCAATCTACTGTATGCATGCAAATTATACGTTTGGCATCCACGCATCCCTACTCTTATTAACTGTTTGTTCTCAGGTCCAATTTTAAAAGTGAACACAGGAGGAGGCGGAGGAGCAGGCCCGATGCCAGCAAGAACTCCAACAAAGAACGGCGATGAGGCTGCCAGTGGGTTACCCGTACTCATTTTCGTACATGGCGATTCGTTTGCTTACGGCACCGGCAACGCCTATGACCTCAGCTTCCTCGCCAGCTATGGCAGTCTTGTTGCGGTCACTCTGAACTACCGGCTCGGTCTGCTGGGTAAGAGCTTTACAGCTTCACTTGTCTTTCTGCATTCTGGAGAAAGGATGTTACAACTCCCTGGCTAATTACCATGGGACAGAGAGACGAAGAAAGGAGAGGAAACATGCAGCAGGTATTGTGACCTGACAGGCGTCTGTCTACCAGTTGACTAAAATTAGAGTGCACAGTGGCTGTATTTTCTTTCATAGCCTCCCCTCTTCATCTTGTGAGCGAAAATAAGGGGGCGGTTTCGCACTCCAGATGTTGAAAACAACTCACTGGTTAATCATCGGTTGCCTTTAGAACGCGAAGTTGGTTACTGAGGGCTCCATAGCTGCCAGTGAAAAGGTAACGCTGGCATGAGCTACCACCATATGCGTTTCCCAACTCCTAATATCTGTTCATCAAACCTTTAATTTCGACAATGTTAAATGCATAGGTCCGTTATTGGTATCACCACGTAAACCAATTCCATTATCACCACACATGTACTGGCCTGATGG